TACTACTACTACTACTGCTACTACTACTACTACTACTACTACTACTACTACTACTACTACTACTACGAATACCCTATTACTACGACTACTACTACTACTACTACTACTACTACTACTACTACTACGACTACTACTACTACTACTACTACTACTACGACTACTACTTTTACTATTACTACTGCTTATACTACTGCTTATACTACTACTTGTCTTGTCATTCTAATGCGACAGGTTCTATGACTTCTACGACCACAACCGTTCATCAGAGTGTTCCTGCGAAGACCGAAATGGTGCCAATTCCTACTCTCGCACGTATGTTGACTTCCAGAATAAAGGCGGTGACATAAGAAAGGTCACTTGGTTGTTACACTTGTCTTGAACCGCTCTCTATCTTGTTTCCTACTGTGGGCTTATCTTCTAATCGGTTGGGATTCGGACTAGTTCGCTTTCCGCGCGGATTGGGATTGGTACCAGTCCGTTGGGATTGGGACCAGTGGGTGTGGAGTGGGCCGACATGCGTCGGTGACCCCCCCTTTGGCGCTGCCCAGCCGTCTGGAGGACTGCCAGACGGGGCCCGTGCAGGTGAGGTCGGAGGATCGCGCCGCATGGCCGATGCATCGGCGATGTAGGCGATGCGTCGGGACCGTCGGCATGGAGGAAGTCGGGCTCCACATCGAGCCGCATCGGCGATGCACCGGCGATGCGGCGCGATCCTCCGCCCTCCTCTACTTCAACCCCATCTATGAGGCCGATCGATCGGCGATGGGCTCCCAATATCAACAAATCCCCACAGCACCGGGCTGGGTGGGGCTATCAATCCCCTATCGGCGATCAATGGGCGATTGGAGGTCGATGCGCTCCCGGAGATCCGATGCCGTGATGTTTTCAATACGGGGTCCCGGGCAATCCCGGCCCTTTTCCCAGGGCCGGATTTTCATCCCGAGTCGTTCTTTGACGGTCTCAGGGCCTGGCGAGGGCCTCTGCAGGCCGAAACAAGCGAGAAACCGCCGACTTGCTTTTTCCAATACGTTGGATCATCTCTGGGTTCCCCCCCATGAGCCCATCTCCCCCCCCCATCGTTGCCCCTGACCGACCGTCGTGGCCGCGCCCCCCTCCCGTGCTGCCACCCACCCCCCCGGGCGCCTGGCGATTTGCTCCAGGCCGGCCTGGGGCGCGTCTCGCAGGGCCTGCAGCTGCGCCCTCACCTCGCCGAAGTCCGACTCGGGCGGCCGAACGCCAAAGGCAGAGGCAAACCCCCCGAGCGGTCACGACAGCTCCGGGACGGGGCCAGAGGCTCCCACCACTTGGCGGCGAGCGAGGGGGGGAAGCGAGAAGGAGAAGGCCTCCTCAGAGGGCGGCGGGACGTCTCAGAAGGCCTCAGAAGGCTGGGGGACTTCCGAGCCTTCGGCGAAGGCCCACCCCTCCTCACTTCTGCCCCAGGCTCGCCGGCGAAAGACCGTCCCCTGCTCGCGTCGTGAACAAAGGACACGACGAGTCCCACGCCGGGCTGTTCACCAGCGTGGCAGTGCGGGCCACCGCAGCTCTGATTCGAACCACGTTATTCGGCCCACGGGGCGGGCCGACAACGCAAAGCGGGCCAAACCCCCAAGGCCCCCAAACACAAAAAACGGTCACATGATGTTCTGCACTGGCTTTCACCAAATGCACTCACACAAAAGACAGCATGGCTAAATCCAAAATGCTGTCCCTGTCGCACAAGCCCTAAAAACAAACAGTGGAGGCCAGTCCATCAGAAACCTTCCGCAAGAAACCCAGCCATGAGACCCCAGGACGTCTATCGAGTTTTGGTGTGGGAACGTCACGCTTTCCATCGTAAAACCATCGAAACCCAAGAAACCCAACGCACCCTGGAGGCAAGCAGGGTGGTTGTTGGCATGGGCCCCCGCTGTAGGCACGAACATGCCCTTGAACGGCGAACAGCACGACGGGTCTTATGCGAGAAGACGTGGCAACCCGACCCAAGGCGCCTCTCTGCTTTTCTGGATCTCCTTCGGCAGCGCGTCCAAATCTGAAGCCAGCCGATCCACCTGCCTGGCCGGAGGGGGGGGGAAGGCGGCCCACACTGCACCGCCGCGAGATGCCAACATCGGCGCAAGCGCACGAACATACACGCGGTCACACACACACACACACACACACACACACACACACACACGCACGCACGCACGCACGCATGCAAACACACACGCACACACACACACACACACACACGCACGCACGCACGCACGCACGCACGCGCACTGCACAGACACAGACACAAACATTGACATTGACACACACGCACACACACAGTGACACTGACACTGACACTGACACTGACACTGACACTGACACTGACACACACACACACACACACTGACACACTGACACACTGACACACTGACACACACACACACACACAGACAGACACAGACACAAACACACACACACACACACACACACACACACACACACACACACACACACACACGCAACGTATGGTCCCGTCGCTGCCACGCGCGCGACGGCCAGCGTAGAAACTCGGGGGGAAACACGCGCTCGGCCGGCCCAGGTCGCAACGCGCTCACACACGCGATCGCACACACACACACACACACACACACACACGCGCACATACACACTTTGAGCCCGAGGGTGCCAGGGTGTGCGAGACGGTCAGGCGCCGGTCGAAGCGAGCGGTGGGCTGCGCTGGACGCAAATACACGCACGAAGCGAAAGAGCAAACAACAAATGAATGGACAAACGGGGAGCGATCAGACCATGAACTTCGGCACGGGAGTGCCAAGGGTGGCATGCAGCTGCGTACGAGCACGCACATATGTTTTGGCGTCGCGGCCACGCGTGGCGAAACAAATCTGGCAAAGAGCCGCACGCGGCCAGCCTAGATCACAACGCGCTTTCGCACACACAGACACATACACACACACACACACACAAACTCACATACACACTCGCATGCACGCACACACCCATAGGTGTTGGTGTCGCGGCCACGCGCGCGGCGACGCGGGTAGAAAGTCGAGCGAAGAGACGCGCTTGACTGGCCCAGGTCACAACGCGCTCACGCACCTTCGTTCGTCGTCGCAGCGCGGCAGGCGCAGTCCGCACGCGCGTTCGGGCAAGCCGGGCGACGGCATTGCGAAGCGACTGGCAGCAAGAACGGATCAAAAGGAGGGAGGGCGGCCGCGGGAGAGGGCGGAAGATCTAGAGCGCTATCGCGGCGGGGCCTGTTGCGGAGCGGCTGGGGCGGCAGGCCGGTGCTGCACCCCTGGCAGTGGGTGCGGGGCGACGTCGCGGCCACACCCAGGGGCCGGTGCGGCGGCTGCCATGAGCGAAGCAGAAGCACAACAGGAGGAGCGGAGTAAAGGCGTCGACGGCCAACTGCGGCGGAACCGCACGCGGCGTTCCAGGTGGCAAGATGCTGCGTGACGGAGTTGGGCGGGCTGCAAGGCGTGGGCTGTGCTGCAAGCGGTGGCGTCCATGGCGGGAAAGGGGGGGAGGGAAATCCTGCCAGCAAGGGGGGCCCAACGCCGATCTAAGAAATACGCGCGGACCTCCGAGACATGATGCTTACGCAGTTCGGATTGTCCGTCGAAAGGGCCCCGGGACCTCTTCAGGAGCGCGTTTTGATCTGAATCTTGAGGCGAATGCGACGAGGGCTTCCCAGGAGGCCCTGAGAGGGCAAACATGCAGGAAAGATATAAATATCAATGCCTGGCCTTCGTAGCCGCGTCCCTTTTCCCGTGGTGTCCCCCCCCCCTCCCCACGGGCGCCTCGCGAGCTGCGCCAGGCCCACCTTGGGCGCGTTTCGCACAAAATCTCGACTGGGATCCCAAACCTAATATTTATGCGGCATGTTTCGAGCTTGATCGACTTGTGATGGTCCCAGGAACCGAAATCGGGCGAAAACGACGCCTGATGAGAAAAAACAACGCCTGGATGTCAGGGGTGGCGACCGGAAATGGGACGGATCCCAACCGATTTGTCCTAATTCCAACCGTTCGGAATGGATTGCAACCAGAAGTGGTCCCAACCCCAGCCACTTCTGACATCTTACGAAATTAAGAGATCATGTGAGATCTTAAAAGATCGTAAGACACCTCTTCACGAGATCATACGAGATCTTCAGAGATCGTACTGTAGATCTTCCGGTATCTTCATTGGTATTAGGAGATGCTACGTGATCTTAAGAGATTCTAAAAGATCTGAAAAGGATCTTACGAGGTCTTGGGAGATAGTAGGAGAGATTCTGGGACACGTTAAGAGAATATCGGGTCAGGGTATTCCGAAATCTTGGGTGAGATTGTAAGAGAAGTAAGGGTGCTTCATGGCATGTGCATGACATTTGCATTTATATGTAAGAATAATTCTGAATTTAGAATACGAGACCGTAAGATGCATCGCGATAGTATGATATAGTATTGAAACATGTTGTTATACTATACCGGATCTTACAATATCGTACGAGATACCTTCAGATATAATAAGAAATCGTGAGCGGTAAGTTAAGATAGTTTGAAAGAGATCTGAACATGTAGTACGAGATATCGAAAGAAAGCTTAAGAGAGAGAGAGAGATCTCATGATAGAGATCGTAAAATAGCTTGAGAAATACGACGCAAGATCTTACGATATCGCAAATGAGACTTTGGGAGGTCTGGAGATATCGCAAGATATCGCATAATATATGTCGTGCTGTATACAGAGATGCGAAGGGATAGTTCAAGATACCTTGGGATATATTACGGGATCTTCATTCATATATATACACATACATACATACATACATACATACATACATACATACATACATACATACATGCATACATATATATATATACACAGACTAGAACCATCGCGCGCGCTTCGCGCGCGCTCAAGTTCTAGCCCGTCCGCTGGGACAATCCCACCAGCCCTCTGGGCGTAGGTGGTTTAGAGAGTTTCTTCTTCCAACCTCCTTCGTCCACTTCGGAAATACGAAGGTCACGGAAGACAGGAAGGTCACGGAAGACAGGAGGGGAATACAAGAAGGCGTACAAAAAGGCGCTCCACGGGGCCCGAGAGGGTCTGCAAGGTGGCCTCGGAAGCAGGGCCATAAACGGTGATACCAGAGGGTCTTGGTATGATATTCTGGGGGGGTTCGCGGCAACCTCGTTTGGAGTAATGTCGAATATGTTACGATACTTTTGCTGGGGTCAGGGAGGAGAAGGCCCACGAAACAGACCCCATAGCTGCCAAAATGTCCACGAAATAAGGAGGAGCACTGCAGTGACAGGGGAACCTGGGGTGAGACTGTCAGACTGTAGGAGCAGGAGGAGGAGCAGGAGGAGGAGGAGGGAGGGCGAGGAAGGATGAGAAACAGTAGGAGGAGGAGGAGGAGGAGGAGAAGGAGGAGGACGACGAGGAGGAGGAGGAGGAGGAGGAGCAGGAAGAGGAGGAGGAGAAGGAGGAGGAGGAGGAGGAGGAGGAAGGGGAAGAGGAGAAGGAGGAGGAACGGAGGAAATAGGAGGAGGAGAAACAGGAGGAGGAGGAGGAGAAGCAGGAGGAGGAGGTGGAAAAAAGGAGGAGGAGGAGGAGGAGGAGGAGGAGGAGGAGGAGGAGGAGGAGGAGTGGTGGCGCGACCACGGCCGGGTCTACCCAGCGTCGGCTCGTGAACCACCACCCCTCGTCGGAGACCTCTTGCTGCAGGCGACCCTCGTAGGTCGGAGCTCGACCGTCCCGCTTCGGAGAGCTTAAATGGACTCCCAGAGGGCCCAAGACAATCCCCGACAGAGCCCCGAACAGAACCATACCAAAAGCCTCTGGCATGGTTCTGTTCGGGCTTGTTTCGGAAGCTCTTCCAGCCACTCTGAACCCTTCTCGGAGCCCTCTTCAGATCCATCGAGCCCGCTTCGGAACGCTGAAATGGGGCCCACGAAAGCCTAAGAAAAAACCCGAGAAGGTCCCGCGCAGAACCACACAAAAGGCCTCTGGTGGGTTCTGTTGGGGCTCCTTTCGGGGGCCCTCTCGGACATTCTGAAGCTTCTTGGAGCCCTGTTCGGACCCACCAGGCCCGCCTCGGAGAGCTCACGCGGGCTTGCCGAGGGCTAAAGAGAATCCCTGGATAAGGCCCCGAACAGCACCATACCCAAGGCCTGTGGCGCAATTCTGTTGGGAATCGTTTCGGGGGACTTCGACCACTCTGAAGCCTTCTTCGAGAGCTGTAAGGATGCGCCGAGACCCCTGCGGAGAGCTCACATGGGACCCAAGAGGGTCCAAAAAGAATCCCCGACAAGGCTCCGAACAGAATCCCGGAGGCCTCTGGCATGACTCTGTTCGGGCTCCTCTCAGGGGCCCTCTCGGACATTCTGGTGCCCTCCTGAAGCTCTCTTCGGACCGACCAAGCCCGTTTCGAAGAGCTCGAACGCGCTCCAACACGCCCCAAGGGAGTTCCCGAAAAGGCCCCGAACAGAACCATACCACAGCCCTCTGGTCTGATTATGTTCGGGCTCGTTTCGGGGGCTCTCTTGGACCATGTCAATACCTCCATGGAGCCGTCTGCGCAAGCGCTTCGCGACCGCGCCGCAGGCTGCAAAAGCGATGCCACAGAGCTCCTCGGAAACCCGCAGAGGAGCACTAAACTACACACGGCGGTTCCACACCACAGCCCTTTCGCACGATGCCCCCCCCCCCCTCCCCTTCAGAAACCATCAACCTCAGGGGCGCGCAGGGAGAGGATACCCCTCCAAGAAGGGCAGAGAGGTTTTGGAAGAGATTCGGGAGAACTCCCTAGGTTATCTGCGGCCAAAAAGGCTGGTAAGATTCGCACGAAAAGACAGCAGCAAACGGGCGGCGCGGCACCGGCGAGGAGCAAAGCAGCCCAGCAGACTTGCACAAGAAGCTGCTGTCGGCCAGCCCTTCTGCCACGTCGTCCTCCTTCACGCCTTTCTTAAACATATTCCTGCTGTTCTCCCCAGGGTCTCACCAACTTCGACAACCTTGCATCGAGCATTTGGAGACGCATTGGAGCACAGCATACGGGGCGCCCCGAAT